TTGGGTTACAAATCACCATTTGGAAGTCTTTTTGGTCAAATACCAGGCTATCACTTCCTGAAAATATTTGGGTGCTTATGTTTTCCCTACTTGAGACATATGAACAAACACAAGCTGGAACCAAGAAGCTTACCAAGTACCTTCATTGGTTATAATCCACAGCATAAAGGATACAAGGTGCTGCTACCAAACAGGAGAATCATTGTGACAAGGCACATTGTGTTCAATGAGAAAAGGTTTCCCTTTTTGGAACAAGCTCTTTCAGAAGGTAAGTCACCTAAAAATGTACAAGGGCTTTACCCTCCTCTTTTGATGGTTGAAGCTAACTTTCCAACAACTATTCTCAACAATGATCCCTCAGTTCAGCAGCATCATGATCACTCTCCTTCTCCAGGAGTTCATGTGACTCCCAGTGGCTCCTCTCATCAATCATCATCTCTCTCTCCTGTAGGTAACTCAGATTCTCACTCATCCACTATTCAGGTTGGCAGAATCACAATTGATCTTCCCATTGAACACATGAGTGATTCTAACTCTAGCCACAGTCAGAACCAAAATCCACAGAACAATCAAGAATCAACAGCCACTCATCTTATGATCACAAGGGGCAAGGCAGGGATCAGAAAACCAAAGGTGTTCACTGCCAGCACTATTTTCAACTCAGAACCTAAGAGTCTTGTTGAAGCTTAAACTTCTAAAGAGTGGATGCAGGCCATGGACAAGGAATACAATGCTCTCATCTCCAACAAGACATAGAATCTCACTACTCTTCCTGAAGAAAGAAGCACAGTGGGGTGTAAATGGGTATACAAATTAAAAAGGAATGCTCTTGGTGCTGTTGTTAGGCATAAGGCTCGATTAGTTGCCAAAGGTTTCACTCAAATGCCAGGCCTAGACTATGGAGACACATTCAGCCCAGTTGTGAGGCCTGTGTTTGTCCCATTTTTGTGTCTTTATTTTGGGTTTATTTTCTCTTTATTTTTCCCCACTTATAGGATTTTTATAGGTTATTTGGTCCAATTCTGTGATTTTTCCGTTTTTCTCTATTAGTTCGTTTTGTGCGTCTTTTTTGTTGTGTTTTGCTTCGTGTTTTCTTCGTGTTTGTGTTTTCAGGAGGTAGGTTGTGTGAATCGAGGACGGGACTACTTGAGCTTATGCCGGGATATCAAGAATACCCATTGACGGGCCCAGAATTTTGAAGGAAGGACCGAAAAAACAGACTAAAGAGCTGCCCAGGACTTCTCGCGACTCGCGAGACAGTATCGTGACTCGCGAGATGGTCGCGACTCGCGAGAATGTCGCGACTCGCGAGTCCAACAGAGACGAAAAAGAGTTGTTCGCGAGGAGAGCCGCGACTCGCGAGCCAATGTCGCGAATCGCGAGGTGATGTCGCGACTCGCGATCCAGGTCGCGACTTTCCCCAGAAAATAAATATTTATCGAAGACGCGCGACTCGCGAGATGTCGCGACTCTCGACTCGGCAAAATTGGATGTCGCGACTCGCGACTTATGTCGCGACTCGCGACTTGATCGGCGCGATTTTCGAGGACGGGATTTTAAGTTCAGAATTTCGACCTAGACATGATTATTCACGTTCCAGACTTTGTTTTTTTGGCTTTTTCTCTCTAGAAACTCATTCCTTTTCATACTTTTGCTCTTTGGATTGAATTTTGGAGATTAAAACTCTACTTCTTGCTTGGATTTGGATTGTTCTGTGGATTTGACATTGGGATTCGTTATTAATCGTAAGTTTTTCTTTTCTCAATTGAGTGATTGATGATGATGGCTTGGGTTTGTATGAATTTTGACGTTGAATTCCATATGAGTGGCTAAATCCATACGCTAGGGATAGGGGATGATTGATTAGGTTCGATTATGATTGCTTGTTCTTAATTGTTCATATCTATTCAAGTTGTTCTTATTCTAGGGTTAGTAGATTGATCACCTTTCTAACCTAATTAATCAACGTGTAGAACCGAGAGGGGAGACGTTGGTCGATATAGGCTTGTTTAGAGTAGACTTGTTCGTAATAGTATTGTCTATGGGTTGTTGGAATTGATAGTTGATCGTGTACGTTCACTCTCTTGTTATGAAGAGTTATTGAGAGTGAGCCTCTGGACGAGAAACGATTCAAGTCCCTTAACCGAGCAATTGATTGTCGGTAGTTGTGTTAGAACCGAAAGCAATTATCCCCGATTCCCTAGCACTTTAATCATTCGAGGTTATTCGCTTGCTATTTAATTTGTTTGCTTAGTTTTAAATCTTTAGCTGATAATTAGAACCCCCAAAATTATTGAATAGAGTGTTTAAGAATTTTTCTTTTTGTTCTCGTGATCGAATAATCGTACAATTGAATCCGGCTAACCTTCCTTGCGATACGACCCGGGGAACGAATCTTTCGATTCTACTCCGGTAAAAATACTAACAACAGCCTGCAACCATCAGATTACTTCTCTCTATTGCCATTGCTCATTCTTGGCCATTAAAGCATCTTGATGTTGATAATGCCTTCCTTAATGGAGAACTTGATGTTGATATCTATATGAATCAACCACCAGGATATGAAAAGGTTTCTGACTTAGGTGTACCTCTTGTCTGCAAGTTGAATAAGACAATCTATGGATTAAAACAAGCTTCAAGAGCTTGGAATCTCAAACTCACTGCAGCCCTCAGCACTATGGGTTTTATTGCTTCCAAATCAGATCCTTCATTGTTCTTCAAAATTACCTCTCACTCCACGACCTTTATTCTTGTATATGTTGATGACATAATCATCACAGGTTCTAATGAAGAAGATCTCCAACACACTATCTCAGAATTTCAGAAGTTCTTTTCCCTCAAGGACTTAGGTCAGTTAACACACTTCTTCGGCATTGAGGTCTCTTACAATGATCAAGGACTTGTCTTAAGTCAAGGTCAGTACATTACTGACATTCTATCAAACTTACAAATGACAGAAGCTAAGGGAGTGAGTTCTTCCATGATAACTCATCCTTTTCTGTCCAAACATGATGGGCAACCATTTGAGGATGTCACATTATTCAGAAGTGTTGTAGCTTGTAGGTGCTCTCCAATACACAACCATTAATAGGCCAGAGATCTCCTACAATGTCAACAAAATTAGTCAATACATGCAAGCTCTTTCACATAGCCATTGGAAAGCCTTGAAAAGAATCTTGAGGTATCTTGCTGGTACAGTTAATTATGGGCTGCAGTTCAAAAAGGGCCCTCTGCACCTTGTAGAATTTGCTGATGCAGATTGGGCATCTGATCTTGATGACCGCAAATCTACTAGTGGTAACTGTGTTTTTCTTGGACCTAATCTCATCACACGGAGTGCTAAGAAACAAAAAACAGTATCCAGATCAAGCACTGAAGCTGAATTTCGAAGCTTAGCCACAGCTACTTGTGATGTTATTTGGCTTAGGAGCTTATTGTCTGAACTTGGGTTTTCTTTGCAGAAACCTACCACAATTTAGGTGGACAACCTAGGAGCTTGCCACTTATCAGAAAATCCTGTTTTTCACTCGAAAACCAAACATGCAAGGATTGACTTTCATTTTGTCAGAGAGCATGTAAAATCTCACACTATAACAGTTCATCATATTCCCTCCATTGAATAAGTGGCTGACATTTTCACCAAGCCCTTGTCAGGACAATTCTTTACTCGTCTTCGATCCAAATTGGGGATTTGTCTCAAACCCGAACACGAATTGAGGGGGGCTGTTAACCTTGCCATCTCAGACTGCCATGCAAGTTCTCGGTCATCCATGCAGGCACGTCAGAATTCAAAGTAAGGTCCATTCCTTGCAAAGAGAAAGACTCTTATGCCCCTCTTGATATTAAGCATGACAGTACAAAAAGGAATAGCAGCTGCATCACAACTACTTGTGATGACTCATACAAGAAAACAAACAACCTAGCTCTCTCTTATCCTATTTTGTGTGATTGAGATTTAATGTAGCTAGGTCATGGGGTCTAGAATATTCTCTCTTAGCTTAGGATATAAATATGTGAAATATGGCAGCCGCAATGTACTGCAACTTTGAAAAACTCACTCTTGTATTCAGTGCTAATGATTGATGAATTATTCCCATTGTTCTTTATTCTGCAAATGAATTGATCCAAGAAATCTTTCACTAAGGTAAAATATCTCTAAGATTTAATGTTAAAATATCTATTAGTTTTTTGTAATGTATAATATATTAAATACAATTAATTTATAAATAATACTTACATATTTTATGAAAATTATAATAATTTTATAAAAAAGTAGTTGGGGAAAAAAAAAAGCAGTTAAGCACAACCAAAAACATTCATGATTATGTCAAATTCATTAAACTCTAATCACATTATAAAAATATTATAGGTGGTAATGTTACTTCTCTGTTAGAGCAAAATGAAAATTAAATACAACACTTCACAATAAAATATATTTTATTAGAAAAAAGTATTGAATCGATTTGTCTAATTGCTCCCCATCTCACAACAACATTTGTATTTATTTACTGAACAACCCTAGAAAATGAATGGGCCGACCCGTCTTAGACCCACATCACAATAAAATTTAACGGGCTAGCCCAATGAAAATATATAGAACAAAATTCTCGGGAATAATTTCTTTTCCATGTGGACTTGCAGTGGCCCAAAACCCCAGCCTAGATCGTGACATATGCCCAAAAGAAGTATAAAATGGGGAGATGTTACGGTCTCGGTATCATTCCGTCATGGTTCGTAACTGTTAGATCAACTATCCCGACGATTACATGATGATCTAACGGTTACAAATACCAATGGAATGGTTCCCTAACGGGACCGTAGAAAAATGATACTATATTTATGCAATATTTTATAATATAATATTTGAATTCAAAAGTATATACATTTATTGAAAAATATGACTTACTTCCTATCAAATAACTCAACAAAGAAAAAACAATTACACAAGCCTAATACATCTGAAAGTGATCTGCAAATTATTGGAAATGTTATTTATTTTTTCAACCTATGATCCATAGAGCACATGTGATTATCAAGGGTAAAATTGTCATCCACAAATATCTCCCAACTCTCGTTGATCCACCGCACATCAATCTGTTGTCATGATACGTACACACCGGTCGCCTCCTGCAAATTTTTAATAAGAACAAGAATTTTAGTTAACACAATAATCAACTTTTTAGCCAAATTGATTTATTTCATTTTATGAATTAGAAATGACAATGGTTGATACAACACGAAATTCAAATACAAGACAAATGACACGATTGACATGACACCGACACTAATATGTCCCGAAAAAATGTGATGATAATCATGTAGTAAAAAAAGAAAAAAATAGTTAGAATATAGATGATCTAGTGACATACTTTAATGAAATACAATAAGTAATACGGAAAAAACACGATGGTGAAATACGAACACGAAAGATACCTAGACGAGCAAAAGGAGACAACATAGTCGGCCCCCGAACACGTGAAGATGCTCGTGGGGTCATCGTACGCGTAGCTGTACGCGGTCGGGCAAGCCTCCTTGAACCGCCGCGAATAATACGTCGGCCGACAGGTCACTGGATTCCCGTACACCCCCCGACAGCAGTACTCGTCGGTATCGAATACGTCGCACGCGCTCCGGCAGCCCACCGTCCTCCCACCGGCCGTCACCGCCAGCTCCTTGGGGCAGTTCGGCCGGAGATCGGAATCGCAGCCGGCGACGCTGCAGTTACCCCTGCCGTTGATGGGCGTCACCGCCACAGGCAGGTTGAACCCGTCCACCAGACTGACGTCGTAGAAGTCGAGGTTGGCCAGGGTGAACTCGGCCAGGGACGCCGGCGGCTTGCCAGAGGCGCCGCACTTCAGGGACGAGCCACAGCTGGCGGTCTGACACGAGCCGTTGCCACCCCGGTCAAAGTTGCAGCCGGTTCGGGCCCATATCCGGCCTGACCAGCCAACTGGGGCTGTGAACACCATCGACTGACCGGGCCTCAGGGAGAAACCGCCACCGCCGAAGTACTCGCCTGGGGTCACAGCGGGCCAGATCGTCTCTCGGCAGTAGTTGACGATGGTGAAGACTCTTGCACACTCGGACAATTTTAACCCTGTGAATTTTGATTTAATATATAATAATAATAATATGTGCTGGAAAATTATTATAGATGATGATTTATCCATGAAATCATTAGAGTTAAGCCTTAATTAGATGCTTTCAATTGAATAATAAAAGAAAATTAAAATATCAAGGTCATATGAATAGGATGAAAAGTATCACAGAAACGTAATAATCAATTAAAAAAATGTCAATTATGAATTTGAAAATATGTAAGAATCTTCCTCGTCTAATACTGAAAAATTACATTTTCGCATAAATTGCAAACGCGAATTTAAATCACGCATAAAAGATTAGTAAAAAAAAAAAAAATCATGACATTTCTTATATAGTAATACCTGATATTATGACAAGTAAAACAAAGAATGCAGGTAAATGAACATGTTTGAGCCTCGCCACCATCCTCATTTCTCTGGGTCTTGATTTCCAAGTATACAAATATTTAGCTATAAGACCATATATACGAAAATTATTTATTGTGCTAATAAAAACATTTCATTGGTAGAAAAATAAGGAATACGTGCAATGAGGTGCAAATAGAAGCATGCATGGAAGGATTGGAAAAGATTCTTTAAGTTGTTAATTAAAACATGCTTTGCCACTTTATCAACTCATAGGTCGTCTTCGTATGTAGAATGTTTCACCTTTTATTAGGCCACTTTACATTTAGGAAAAGTATATCTTATTTGAAAGCCTTGTTAAAAATGTTCATAAGATGGAAAATATCAAAATCAGTCGGATAAAATCAGTCTAGAAATTCAAAACCATGCTCGAAAAAGATACGTCATGCCAATGTCTTATTAATCTCACAACTTGACCTTTATCTCCTGTGTGGCGACTGACATGAAAAAATAATAAAGTTAGTTCTCTGGAATGAAATCTATATGTATATATAAACAGCTACGTCGATTGTTTTTGGGCTTTGGCCTGATGAATTCGTGTTAGTTGTGCTCTTCTACACTTTGACGAGTGCGACTCGGTGGAATGGATGAAAAATTCTTTGGAATTGGTTTTGAATGTGGCTTAAATGGCCTAGTTGGGTAATTTGGTACCCGTTTTTTCGTTTGTGCCATATCGGATGCTGCTTCCCAGATTGGGTAAACGTGCAAACCAATAGCTGCAGAAGTAGGAATAATAGCACCGGAGATAATGTTGTGCGTGGGAATACCAAGTCGATCTGCGATAGATAAAGCCACCCAGTCATCCAGCCAAAAATAGACGGACGACGACTGAAGACTCGTAGTAATATAATAATAAATATCATATCTTTCTTCTCTTACGACATTAGTTGCGGTTGATTCTTTTCCGATCGAGATGTATAGATCTTGTTCATGGCTTCATCAAGATCAAACGAAGGTCAACTAATTTCTTATTTAGCCTGAAAAGTGGCTTTGACTGGCGTCAACTCCAACCGCATCCTCAGAAGAGGGAGCTTCGATCGCTAACCCCAAAAACCCGGCCTCAGTTCGGATTGCAGGCTGCAACTCGCCTGCATGAAGTCGGAATCGCTAGTAATCGTCGGTCAGCCATACGGCGGTGAATTCGTTCTCGGGCCTTGTACACACCGCCCGTCACAATATGGAAGCTGGCCATGCCCGAAGTCCTTACCTTAACCGTAAGGGGGGGGATGCCGAAGGCAGGGCTAGTGACTGGAGTGAAGTCGTAACAAGATATCCGTACTGGAAGGTGCGGCTGGATCTCCTCCTCTTCAGGGAGAGCTAATGCTTGTTGGAGGAACAATACCCAACCCCGAACAACCCACGAAATAATTGGATCTATGGACAGCACCATTGAAATTCAGAAATGAATTAATGGTGAGCTTACCATTATCCTTTTTATAGTGACGAATCTTGTATGTGTTCTTAAGAAAAGGAATTTGTCCATTTTTCGGGGTCTCAAGGGGGCGTGGAAACACATAAGAACTCTTGAATGGAAAGGGGATGTAACTCCAGTTCCTACGGAATCGCTAGTCAATCCTATTTCCGATAGGGGCAGTTGACAATTGAATCTGATTTTGACCATTATTGTCATATCCGTAATAGTGCAAAAAGAAGACCCGGCTCTAAGTTGTTCAAGAATAGTGGCGTTGGGGGGCACCCCGATTGATTGACTGGGGTGACAGTTTCTCATTCGGAATCTGTAAAATCAGAATTTGGATCAAATCACACATCGCAAGCACACTAATTTCTATAGTCTAAATCGAACTAAAAAATGGAAAGATTAGGAGAAAAAAGAAAATGGTTCTGTTGAATCATTCGAGTAATTAATCGTTTCACAATCAGTAAACTAGATTTTTTGTCACACACGTGCTTGTTTTGTTGTTGCAATGGAATGGATTTGTGTGGGCACTCGGGCCCCTTGAATTTTTTAGCGATTCGCATTAAGATGCTCGCGGATATGATTCGTTTGCCGATTCTAAGTTTGCCGTGTTTGCGGCTCGCATTAGGGCGATTCAAAAATTGATTTTTGTGATTGTTTTATTACTTATGTTGACCTGGCCGGATAATTTGTCATCCGGTCTTTGGCCTTCCTGAACTACTCAAGAGTTCAGTATTTTTATATGTAAAATAAAGTACTTTGTCGGGCTCGTGGCCTTAGGGCTTAATTATTTGGGCGTTTCAGCCTTAGGGCTCGTAGGCCTTTAGTTTTAGGGCATTTCGGCCTTAGGGCTCGTAGGCCTTTAGTTTTAGGCATTTCGGCCTTAGGGCTCGTAGGCCTTTAGTTTTAGGGCATTTCGGCCTTAGGGCTCGTATGCCTTTAGTTATAGGGCATTTCGGCCTTAGGGCTCGTAGGCCTTTAGTTTTAGGGCATTTCGGCCTTAGGGCTCGTAGGCCTTTAGTTTTAGGGCATTTCGGCCTTAGGGCTCGTAGGCCTTTAGTTTTAGGCATTTCGGCATTAGGGCTCGTAGGCCTTTAGTTTTAGGGCATTTCGGCCTTAGGGCTCGTAGGCCTTTAGTTATAGGGCATTTCGGCCTTAGGGCTCGTAGGCCTTTAGTTTTAGGCATTTCGGCCTTAGGGCTCGTAGGCCTTTAATTTTAGGGCATTTCGACCTTAGGGCTCGTAGGCCTTTTTGCTCCTTCATTCTTTTTTTTTTTTTTTTGGTATGTATATGTATATATATTTATTCTTTATATATATACGTACATATATTCATTTTTTATGTATATACTTATACACATATATGTATGTATTTATAATAAAATTGAGAGTTAGATTACCTTAGGTCAGCGTGGAGAGTAGACCTAAAAATATTCTCATTTGGAGATGTCGGCTCCTCTTTTGCTCCGAATCCTACTGAGCTCCTTGACTTTGCGATTCTTGTTGCTTGACTCGATCTAACTCTATTTACGCTATCTAGTACAATATTTTTTGGGCCTATCCATTATTCTCTATAAATATACAAGACTATATATTCATTAATGGTGCCCAAATTGATTTTTACTACAAGGCCCACTAGTTCCAATTGTTCCCAACCCATCAGCTACGCAGAGTAGAATAAAAAAAAAAAAGGGAAAAAACTGGTACAACCTCCATATACATTATCCTCGGGATCAACTTACAGTGCGGCGGCAGATTTGGGCCTGAGCTCTTCGATTGGGTTGACTTGGAGGTCCGACTGTTGTAACTTGGAAAATTGGAGCTCGACCTGGATGTTAATTGAGGTCTGCACCTTGAATATTTGTCTAGATCAGATTGGCTGTGACGAGTTTGGCTGCGACAACTGAAATCGGTGGTTCGTCAGTCGTTTTTGAATAATTTTCTGTCCGCAGATTCGGGCATACCGAGTGAAGATATGTTCCCGATTGTGGTCAGTTACCCTCGGTTCGGCCCTCAGGTGTTCGTCGATTCGACTCGCTGATGGTCGTCCATTCGTCCTGCGGATGGTTGTTGGTTCAGCCCGCGTACGGTTGTCAGTTCGGTCTGCGAACGGTTGTCGATTCGGTCCCAGCAGCGGATGGAGTTGTTCGGTCGGCAGACAACTCTGTTGGTAGGGAGGTGGCTCCACGGACGGTCAGCTCTGTTCGCTCCGCGAAGGTGATAGGTTCGGGCCGGATGCAATCTGTAGTTCGGGTTCGGTGATAGGGGTTCGGCCCGGCTGGGGCGGTGACCGAGTTCAGTCACGGAGAGTGTTAGAGTGATTTTGTGAATATTGTATTTTTTGTATAGATAGATTTTAGTATCTTAGGAGATTTGGTGTAGATTGTTTTAGGGCTTCCTTTATACCTTTATATTCGGCTCTTGTAAATGTGGCTAAAAACAAGTTTGGATGTGAATGAATTGTTTTCACATATTTGTCATGGTATTAGAGCTTGGTTAAGATTTTTTTTTTTTTCTTTTTTCAGATTCATAGTCTCGATCAACTGAGACTACTACTTTCATATTTTCTTGTCATAGTCTCTATATGGTTTGAAGCAAGCTCCTCGGTGTTGGTTTGCGAAGCTTGCTTCTGCTCTACGGCAGTATGGTTTTCAGCAGTCCTATTCTGATTACTCACTGTTTGTTTTTCATCGTGACTCATTGAGTTTTACATGTTCTGGTTTACGTTGATGATTTGGTCATTTCTGGAAGCGATCCAGTCGCCATTACTACCTTTAAGGATTATTTGGGTCGTTGTTTTCATATGAAGAATTTGGGTTTGTTGAAATATTTTCTTGGTATTGAGGTTGCTAGGAATTCTTTAGGCATTTTCTTGTGCCAACGGAAGTACACTCTTGACATTGTGACCGAGACTGGTCTACTTGGCGGAAAACCAACCGACTTTCCCATGGAACAGAACCACAAGCTTCCATTAGCAGACGATCCTCTCTTTTCTGAACCCGAGCGTTATCGACGTCTCATTGGGCGATTGATCTATTTGACAGTCACTCGTCCTGATTTATCTTATGCGGTTCATACTTTGTCTCAGTTCATGCAGCAACCTCGTCAGGCCCACTGAGATGCTGCTTTTCGGGTGGTTCGTTATTTGAAGGGTACTCCGGGTCAGGGTATTCTTCTTCGCTCAGATTGTGACTTGCAGATTTATGGTTGGTATGACTCTGACTGGGCGACTTGTCCCACAACACGTCGGTCTCTCTCGGGCTGGTTTGTACTACAACTTGGCCATTCACCCCTTTCTTGGCGCACCAAGAAACAACACACTGTAGCTCGGTCTTCTGCCGAAGCCGAGTATCGAGCTATGGCGACCCTTACTTGTGAGTTGAAGTGGTTGAAGGGTTTGCTTCACAGCCTTGGCATCGCTCATTCTCAGCCCATGCGGATTCATTGTGACAGCCAAGCCGCTCTGCACATTGCTGCTAACCCTGTATTTCATGAGCACACGAAGCATATTGAAGTCGATTGTCATTTTCTTCGTGATGCTCTTGTTCAAGGTCTCATTTCTACCGCTCATGTTTCTACTCATTCTCATTT